AAACTATTTTTAAAAATCACATTATAAATATGTTAATTTACAGATTCAATGTAAACCAGTAAAAATGAACTGAGTTTTGTTATATAGCTTTACTAGATGTATGGAAGCAGAAGAATCCAGAAGAAAGGCAACCTCAAAAATAAAAGTCTAGAAGATTTGATATCACCCTGCATACATCCTGTATCACAGACAAATAAACAAGGAAAGAGTAATGTTATTCAAAGTTTAGACCAAAGAAACAACACGAGGCACATAAAGGACCCTAAATATATACAACTGGTATATAAGAAAGCTGGTTTTGGTTATCAGTAGGAAAATGTGGATTTCTCAATAAATTCTGCTGGGGTCCATATGGGAAAAAAGTTAGAATTTTATCTGATGGGAAAAAAAATACCCAGGTATATTAACTATAATAATATGCAAGATAATAGATGGTAATATTGGTGACTGTCCTCATGAGATTTTCCTTCCTAGGCCCTGGCATCCACCATCCTATTTTATTTTTATGAGCCTGATTACTCTAGAAATTCCATATAAGTGGAATTTTACAGTATTTTTGTTTCACATAGCTTTATGTCTTCAAAGTTTATCCATATTGTAGCATGTGTGAGAATTTTTTCCTTTTTAAAGCTGAATAATATTCCATTGTATGTATACACCACATTTTGCTTATCCATTCATAGACATTTGCATTGCTTATACCTTTTGATTATTGTAAATAATGCTGCTGTGAGTTTCATGTTTTTAATATATATATATATATATATATATTTAACATCTCTCTGAATACTTTTAGCTGCACACTATTTACAATAGGTAAGCTATGGAAACAACCCAAATGCCCCAAAATAGATGACTGGATCAAGAAGATGTGGTGCATACACACAATAGAATAATATTCAGCAATCAAAAAAGACAAACTCATGTCATTTGCAGCAACATGGATGGAGCTGGAAGGGATCATGCTCAGTGAAACAAGCCAGAAAGAAAAAGAAAAATACTGTATGGTCTCACTTATATCAGGAATGTAGAGGAACCAAATAAAGGATCAGGGAAAAAAACTAATTATAACAAAGTAAAAATCAAAATCAACAGGCAGCTATAAACCAGAGACATTCTGCAGGGAGGGAGAAGGGAGTAGGATCAAAACAAGGGTGGGAAGAGCACAAGGGACCATGGTGATGGTTCACTGGTGAATGAGTGGTGGGAATTTCACGGGAACTCTAACCAAGATGAAAATGCATACATTGTACAAAATTGAAGAATGATGTAAAAATATATAAAATAAAAATTAAAATAAACACTTTTAGTTGCATCTGTCAGATTTTCTCCTGTATTATTTCCATTTAGTTTAGAGCATTTTCCAATCCCCCTTATGATTTGTACTTTGACCCATGGGTTATCTGGAGGTATGTTGTTTAATTTCCATGTGTTGGGGGATTTTCTGATTGTTCTAATTAGATTTCTAAATGTTACTGGCTTCTAACTTTTGTCCCTTGTGATTAGATAATATATTCTATATTATTTCAGTGTTTTGAAATTTATTGAGACTTATTTAATGACCAGCACACAGTCTACCTTGGAGAACGTCCATGTACATAAAATGAATCTAACTGTTCAGTTATGGCATGTGGAATCTATAACATCAGTGAAATCATGTTGATTGATTATCTTGAGCTCTATTGCCTGATATTTAATATAGCCATGCCAACTTGCTTATACTTGTGCATATATTTTTTCTGGGCCAGTTTTTAATTTCTTAGTTTAGATATCCTGCATCATATATAAGATTGATTGTTTATGTCCCATATTTCTAGGTGAAGGCTGAGTGTTTGCACATCTCAAGGGTGAGCTCCCCACACCCACCCAATGGGCCAAAGAAACCCCGTTTCTCATCTCTTTAGTCCAGTGAGTAGCATTTTTCTAGACATATTTTATAGGAACTAAGCTAAGTCTTAGTTCTAGATCTTCATCCCCTATTCCTGTATGATTATTAAAACCCCAGGCCTCTTAAGCATTAAATATGGGATCAGAAAATCTTGGGGTGTCTAAGGTTTCACCTCCAGGTTACATTACTGTTTTGATTCAGCTCTTAGTTTCTGATTGCAGAATATTCTTTTCCTTTGAATATGACAAATTATTTTTTTTGAATGTTTATTTATGTATACAGGAGCTGGGGTACAGGCCAGAGATGTGAGGGATGAGAGGATTCACCAGAGACAGACTGGGGAACAGAACAGGCAGACTGACTGTAGTACACTGCTGAGGGGAGCAGCGGGTGAGACAGGAGAGGTCTGCTGCGCCATTTGGGTTGCTCCCTTGCCAGCCGGGGATCGAACTCGTGCTGCAGTGGCTGCAGATAGCTGCATAGCAGCATCTTAGGCAAATTGCTCAACTTTGCTCTGTCTTTGTTTCCTCATCTGTAAAATTTAAACAGGGTATAAAGATAAAAAGCCGTAAGTTTGTTTCAAAAACTAAATATGTTATTACAAAGTCCTTATAAAAGTTTTTTAAAATGTTGAGATCGAGTCCTATTCAAAAGCAATTAAAATTCTAGGTATGAAACCTGGGTATCCTTATATTTTTAATACACTCTAACACCAGTTGATATAGAGTTAGGAATGAACCAGTTTTAAAGGGTTTTGAATTACCAAAAGAGGTATCATTTTGTAAATTGGTTAGGACTAGAAAATGGTCTAGCAAGATATTATATCTTTTCACCTTTCTGTGCTAATGCCTCTTGTTTTCCTGAGTCAGAATAAAGAAACATCTAGTTTCTTCCATTTCTTTCTTTTTTTTTTAAATTTTTTTTAAGATTTATTTATTTATTTATTTATACAAGACTGGGTAGAGTCAGAAGCGCGGGAGGGTGAGAGGATTCACCAGAGACAGAGTGGGGAGCAGAACAGGCAGAAGGACCGAAGCACACTGCTGAGGGGAGCAGCAGGCTAGACAGGAGAGGTCTGCTGCGCCATGTGGGTTTCTCCCCAGCTGGCTGGGATCGAACCCGCGCTGCAGGAGCTGAGAACAGCTTCACAGTTCACAGTGCATTGTTCTGCTCGCTCAACTGCCTGCGCCACCAGGGGAGGCCCTCAAGTTTTAACACTATTGCTAACTAGCACTACAATAACAGAGTCATTACACGGTTGTTGGAACTTGACTGTCAGATTTGGGTATAGTGGGTGGCACTACACAACACTGATGAGCTGAAGGAGGCGTGGAATTGTAGAAACACTAAACTAAATTTTGGGGACACACATCAGAACCGGGGCTGGCTCTGATCCACCAGGGAAGGGACACACACTTGTGCCAAGTGCCGCGTGCCAGATGCCGCTGCGGATGCTGGGGCTTTGCCAGGGAGCAAAACTGATAAACTCAACAGCAAAAACAAAATGCATCACCCTCCGGCCACGACCGTGACCCTGGAGTGTCCCACGTGCAGGCTGGAGAGACGAGCACCCTCGGAGGCAAGTCGTCGCCTCCGCCCAGAGCTACGGTACCAGCTTCAGCTCGTCGTGGCCCGCATCCCTCCCTCCCCGGCAGGCTCCCCAATTCCCTCTTCCCTCCTCCGGCCCGGAGCCCGGTGGGGCTTCCGCTTCGCAGCGCGTCCTCCCCGAAGCCGGCGTCCAGCCTTTCCCTGGGCGGCCGGCTCCGGGGGGCTTCCGGTTCCCTTTTCTGCCCCCCTCTCCGGCGTTTCCGACTCCCCCTCGCCGGGCTGGGCTCCTCCCCAGCGGCCCCCAGCCCTGCCCCCGCGCACCGCCGCGACCCTCCGCGAGCCGAGCGCGCGACCTGCGCGTCCTGGAAAATTCCCGGGCGCGTCTCGGCGCGCGCACCCCGCGGGCTCCGCTGCCTGGTGGGGGGTCTGGGCGCGGGACTGCGTTTCCCACAGGGCCGGGGAGCGCGCGTTCGCTGCGACCTTCGGTCCCCCCCGCCTCTGCGGCCGGGGTTCTGGGGGTGTCCGCCTGCTGAGTGGAGCCGCCCCGGCCGGGCTGGGGCGCGCGGAGAGGAGCCCCCCCGGGAAGCCGGCGCCTGCAGCCTGTCGCGACGGGCGGCGCTCGTTCCCGCGCGTCTGTGTCTGCGGGAGACCCGGACGGAGGCAGTGAGTGTGGCGGGCCTGGGGCGCCCGGGCTGGTGTCTGATGGGGCTCCTGGGCCTGCGGGTGGGGCCGCCCCTGGGTGGCCCTAGTAAAGAGGCGCGTCCGACACCGCGACCGCTCTGCTGAGACTGGCAGGGTGAGCGGGGTGGCAGGTGGAGTGTCTGATGCACACGCGTACGGGTGTGTGTGTGTGTGTGGTCACATGTAGTTAATGTCTCCCCTGTGATTATGTGTCCAGGACTCCATGCCTGTGTAACTGGGGACACCCACCCAACCCCCCAACCTCCCCCACTCCCCCCACCCCTCCCCTCCTGCCTTCACATCTGGGCACTCTCTCCCCACGCCCAGCCTAAAGCTTAGCACAGACCCTGGTGGAGTGAGTTGCCCACCCAAGGTCCAACTGTAGGTTCTATAGGTTGGTTTGCTTTTTTTTTTTTGGAGCTTGTTTCCCTTGGATTCTCCCATTTTTACTTCTTGTAGCCAGTTCAGTTCGATCTAGCGACAGAGAAATGCTCATCAGTCATTAATTTTAGCCATATAGTGACAGTTCCAGAGGAAAAATACATCTTAAGTCATGAGATGTGGAATTTAGGCGTGCGCTTACCCTCAAGACAAGCTTCCGAGAGGACACGGGGCAAGGCACCCGTGTGGCTTCCTACCTGGGTGAACCACCCTGCCCTGCGCTTCGGAGGCTGCTTACACTTTTCAGAACGACCCTGAACGTGGTCCCTTAAAACTGCGGTAACCTTTCCATCTCTGGGCATAGGTGATGTTGAACTTTTGCCTGACACTATAAAAGTCGGTAATATTCTAGTTTCTCCTCTTAAGTTCATCTGAACGTATTTGAGGTGGGTGGCGGGCCACGTCTGATAGTGCGTCGTGTGTTTGTATTTAACCCGTCCAGGTTCTCCTAAGTCCCTTGTTGGTCCTGCAGTTATGCCAGAAAAGGCCTCTGAAGTGGAGGAGCGCATTGCTGCTTAATGGCCCATTCAAGGTCAGTTCACTTGACTTTTTGCTCTGTCACAGAGCAGAGACTATTTGCTTTCCTTCTCCTAAATTGCCTCACCTAACTGTGACTTGTGCATTTACCTGGTGCCTAGCCCTTTCCTTCCTAGTTAGTAATGGGACCAAGCAGTGGACCTGCTTTATTTCCTTCTCTGCCTCTTCCAAATACCCTTAATCCACTATTGGGTGAATCACTCAATTTCCCTATGTGCTCTTTCGTCCCAAAGAATGATAGGGAGGGCCTCCCAGGTGGCCCCCATTGAGCACAGTGCTGTGAAGCCATCAGCAGCCTCTGCAGTGGCCGCCTGGCCAGGGAGCTACCCACATGGCGCAGCAGACCTTTCCTATCTCGCCCGCTGCTCCCCTCAGCAGTGTTTTCGGTCAGTCTGCCTTTTCTGCTCCCCACTCTGTCTCTGGTGAATCCTCTCACACTCCCGTGCCTCTGGCCTGTAACCCAGTTGTTATATAAAAATAAATCTTAGGGCCTCCCCGGTGGCACAGCGGTTGAGCGCTGGGTTGCGAAGCTGCCTGCGGCCTCTGCGGCGCCAGTTCGATCCCCGGCTGCTCCCCGGCCACCGGAGGAGGATCCCACATGGCGCGCAGACCTCTCCTGCCGCCCGCTGCTCCCCTCAGCAGTGTACTTCGGTCCTCCTGCCTGCTCTGCTCCCCACTCTGGCTCTGGTGAATTCTCTCACCCTCCCGCGCTTCTGACTGTACCCAGTGCATGTATGAACAAAACAAACAAATAAAATAAATAAATTTAAAAAAAATAAAAATAAAAATAAATCTTAAAAAAAAAACTTTCTCCATCGTATGGTCATGGCATGGTACTGCAGCTGAGGGAATCCGTAGCCTGCCTTTCCAAGCATGGAACACCTGCCACCCCAGCTAAGGCAAAGATAATGGGGTGCCTGGGGTTCTGAGCAGTGCCACACCTAATATCCAGCCTGCATTTTGTGTGAAAACCCTCCCTCCTTTCACTCAATTTAGCCACGCAACAGGTAGCTGGCAGCAGGAGGGGAGATACTTATTCCCTGGAAATGTAAACAGCCAGGAATGCAGCCATCTGACTGGGAACAGGGGCTGAGTAGTGGTGTGGAAGCCTCTGTCCTTGGTTACTAGTTTGGAATGGAGTCTTTTTCTTACCAGTATGGGATGGGCAATAACAAGGAGAAGGTTTGATTCATAGTTCTTAGCGAGTTTTAGATGTTCTTGCGCAGTATTTCTTCATTTGCTGTCTGTTCTTCATCTGTTACATGCTCTATGTTCATTTGCTGTATGGGGGCAGCAGGCATGTTCATGGGGGACCTTAAAATGGCTGTTTTTGTTTCCTATATAGAATTCTCACCAGTTTCACTTGGGAGTGTGTCTGTGGAGCAACTCCTGCTATGCCAGCAGAATTTGCAGACCGATTCCTCGCAGATCTAACCATGGGCCACGTGAGTTGCTTGTTTTGTTGTTGTTTTTTTTTTAAGACTTATTTATTTATGCATACAAGAACTGGGGTACAGGACAGAGATGTGGGGGGTGAGAGGATTCACCAGATACAGAGCGGGGAACAGAACAGGCGGGTTGACTGAAATACACTGCTGAGGGGAGCAACGGGCAAGTCAGGAGAGGTCTGCTGCACCATGGGGGTAGCTCCCTGGCCAGGGGTTGAACTCGTGCTGCAATGACTGTGGATAGCTTCATAGGTTGCATCTTAACTCTTTGCACCACCAGGGAGGCCCATGAGTTGCTAGTTCTGTGTCCTTTGTGAACATCTCCTTTCTCTGAATATTCCTGCCAAAAAGCTGGTCAAACTTCTGCAGTTTTTCACTTTCCAGAGGGTGCGAACCAAACTGCACACACTCTCTGCCTGTCTCGTTTCTAGGTAATGTTCAATATGCATGTGCTCAGTGTTTAGTCAAGAACAACTCTGTAACAGCGATATAACCTGAATAGAGATGTTTACCATCCTTTTTACATTCTTGGATAGAGAAAAAGAACAGATGGGTCATTTGATGACATATAGGCAAAGTACTTTTCCTGAGCAAACATGAGTTTCTAGGTAGATCAAATTTGCTGTTGGGGCCTCCTCTGGTGGCGCAGGCGCAGTGCTGTGAAGCTGTCCACTGCCTCTGCAGCACAGGTTCAATCCTGGCTGGTAAGGGTCCCACATGGCATGGCAGACCTCTCCTGTCACACCCGCTGCTGCTCCCCTCAGCAGTGTATTTCGTCAGTCTGCCTGTTCTGTTCCCCGCTCTGTCTCTGGTGAATCCTCTCACCCTCCTGCGCATCTGGCCTGTACCCTTGTATAAAGAAATTTATTTAAATATATATATTTAAAAAAATTTGCTGTGGACTGATCTGTTATCTGTGAGTGACATATTATTATAACCTGTCAGAATTGTAGAAGACATTATATTCAGTGTGTCTAAGTATAATTCAGGCTATGTTTTCACCTAGTAAACTAATATGTAGATTAAAAAGTATTTACTAAATAATGGAATTATGATTAACAATTTTTATGTAATGTGATATTATGAAACTTAATACAATAATAAACTTGGGGCTGTAGGAAATTTTAAAATATTTCTATCCAGTCTCTGAGTTAGATTTCCTGTATAGGGGAGCAAAATGTAGAACTCACTTTCATTGATAAATTCATGTGGTAGATATATTTGTGCAATGTGTATGTACACATTACTATTATTTTATTTCCAGATATGCTTAACTAATTTAGAAATCCCAGAGTAGGGGCCTCCCTGGTGTGGCAAGGGATTAAGATGCAGCACTATGAACTACTGTAGCTATTGTAGCATGGGTTCGATCCATGGCCAGGGAGGTGACCCACATGGTGCAGCTGACAGAGACAGAGTTCTGCTGCTCCCTGACACTCCCCTCAGCAGTGTATTTCAGTAGATCTATCTGTTCTGCTCCCTACTCTGTCTCTGGTGAATCCTCTCACCCACCGCATCTCTGGCCTGCACCCTAGCTCTTGTATGCATAAAGAAATAAATGTTAAAAAAAAAAAAAAAAAGAAATCCCAGAGTATACTAGAAGGCTTCTCTGAACCAAATCATCTAGTCTGGTTTGGAAGCACTAATTTCCTTAATTCCCATTCCATAGGCTTTTACCCCTGACCTTGTTTACTATTTAGTCTCTTTCTGTAATGCAAATCTTTATTTCTTGTTTTTTTTTTTTTTTTTTTTAAAGATTTATTTATTTATTTATACAAGCACTGGGTACAGTCAGAAGTGCGGGAGGATGAGAGAATTCACCAGAGCCAGAGTGGGGAACAGAACAGGCAGACTGACGATATACACTGCTGAGGGGAGCAGCGGGCATGGCAGGAGAGGTCTGTTGCGCCATGTCGGACCCTCACTGGCGGCCAGGGATAGAACCGGTGCTGCAGAGGCTGCGGGCAGCTTTGCAGCCAAGCGCTCAACTGCTGCGCCACCAGGGGAGGCCCCTATTTCTTGTGTTTTTCACAAAAAACTTTTTTATCTTCAATTTCATCTATAATGTGTGCTTTACTATTTCAGGAATTGGTAACATTCAGGGATGTGGTCATCAGCTTCTCTCAAGAGGAATGGGAATACCTGGACTCTGCTCAGAGGGACTTATACTGGGATGTGATGATGGAGAACTACAGCAACTTGGTCTCGCTGGGTAAATTATCTGCCTCACAAAATTTAGAATATGCTGTCTAGATGGTGACTTAATACTCAAATCATTGACGTTACTTGATGTTAATACTTGAATTGAAGGCTATCTTTGGTAAACCAGATAAATCTCTTCTCCCTCTTTCCAAAGGGATGGGTTGAACATTGTGCTACAGGTGGCACTTCCATCATTCTTCTTCTTTTTTTTTTTTAAGTTATTTATTTATTTATTATTTATACAAGCACTGGGTACAGTCAGAAGCGCGGGAGGGTGAGAAAATTCACCAGAGCCAGAGCAGGGAGCAGAGCAGGCAGAAGGACTGAGGTACACTGCTGAGGGGAGCAGCGGGCGGCAGGAGAGGTCTGCACGCCATGTGGGACCCTCCTCCAGTGGCCGGGGAGCAGCCGAGGATTGAAGCTGTGCTGCAGAGGCTGCAGGCAGCTTCAAAACCCAGTGCTCAACCGCTGCGCCACTGGGGAGGCCCCTTCTTTTTTTTTTTAAGATTTATTCATGCATACAAGAATGGGGCACAGGCAAGATATGCAGGATGGTGAGAGGATTCACCAGAGACAGAGTGGGGAGCAGAACAGACAGATCTACTGAAATATACTGCTGAGGGGAGCAGCGGGCAAGACAGGAAAGGTCTGCTGCACCATGTGGGTATCTCCCCTGCTGGCCAGGCTCGAACCAGCGCTGCAGAGGCTGCGGACAGCTTCACAGTGCTGTGCTCAACCACCTTCACCACCAGGCAGGCCCCATCATTCTTCTTGATTTTAGTCCCTTCATATAGTTCATATCTTCCTTGACACCCAGGGACCTGCATTTGACTTGTAAGATACGTACAGCCTATCCTTTGAGATATCTACTTTTTTTTAGCTCTTCTCTTCTTTAGTGTAGTTATTTTCATGCTTTCACCTTTATTAATATAAGCACTTAATTATTCCTTCTGTGAGTAACGTTGAGATCCATAGATTTTATTTATTTATTTATTTATTTATTTTTTTGAGATCCATAGATTTTAATGTAATGTTTTCAGTACCATTGTGCTCTAAAAACTGTAATTTCAGGGGCCTCCCTTGTGGCCTAGGGGTTGAGTCTCAGCGCTATCACCCCTACAGCCTAAGTTCGATCCCCAGCCAGGGAGATACCTACATGGTGTAGCAGACCTCTCCTGTCTTTCCCACTGCTCCCCTCAGCAGTGTATTTCAGTAGATCTGCCTTTTCTGCTCCCCACTCTGTCTTTGGTGAATCTTCATACCCCCTGCATTTCTGGTCTACACCTCAATTCTTCTATGCAGAAAATAAATATTTTTGAAAAATCATCCTTTTAAAAAAACCTGTAATTTCAATGCCATTTTCATACTGACTATACATTTATTTGCTAGTGAGCTTCATTTCTAAGTTTTCTAATAATTAGAATTCATTTCTGATTTTATTGCTTCAGTTAAATAATGATGTTTGTATTTTTTGACCTCTGTATACATAATTCAATTACAGGGAATTTCTTTTTTTTTCCTTTTACCACACTGTTTATCAGCCACTTTGGATTTCCTTAGGTTGTTCCCTCATTTTTTTTTAAAGATTTATTTATGTTTGCATAGAAGAATAGGGATGCAGGACAGAGGTGTGGGGGTGAGAGGATTCACCAGAGACAGAGTGGGAAGCAGAACAGGCAGATGTACTGAAATACACTGCTGAGGGGAGCAGTGGGTGAGACAGGAGAGGTCTGCTGTGCCCAGGGGGTCATCTCCCTGGCCAGGGATTGAATTCGTGCTGCAGTGGCTGCAGAGAGCTTCATAGGTTGCATCTTAATCCCTTCCACCACAGGGAGGCCCCTGTTTCCTCATTTGATTGCTTATCTTCAGCTAATGCCCACCCCATCCTTTGTTGGAAAGCACCTAACATTCTTACCCAAGTCTATCTCCTTTCTATACCATTCTGTAGCACAGTCTTCTTTTCATTCCAAGCTTTGCTCAGAATTGCATGAGTGTTAAATATGGTATGCAACATACTTTGTTTTGTTTTGTCTGCTTGTTGCACTTAGCAGATATTGTTTATTACAGAACCCTCCATCAGTAATTTGACTGCAACTCATTAAACGTAATGATGATCATTTTTTAGTAGTAAAGTGTTTTTAATTTAAGGTATGTACATAATGCTAATGTAATAGCATTAGACGTAATGCTATTGCACACTGAATAAACAACTTTCTGGTGTAAACATAACTTTTATATGCACCGGGAAGCCAGAAAATTCATGTGTTTCATTTCACTGAGATAATAATTTTATGGTGGTAGTCTGGAACTAAACTTGCAATATCTCCAAGTATGCATGTGTACCTATTCTGAAATTGTAAATACTTTGACACTTTTTTTTTTTTTAAGTATAGTGGGGCCTCCCTGGTGGTGCAGGGGTTAAAGTCAGCACAATCAAGCTATTAGCAGCCACCACAACACAGGTTTGATCCCCTGCCAGGGAGCTGCTTACATGGCGCAGCAGACCTTGCCTTTCTCCCCTGCTGATCCTCTCAGCAGTGTCTTTCAGTCAGTCTGCCTGTTCTGTTCCTCACTCTGTCTCTGGTGAATCCTCTCACTCTCATCCCCATACCTCTGACCTATATCCCAGTTCCTGTATGCATAAATAAAAAATAAAACTTAAAATATATAGCAATGTCTGGCTTTGGATAGAAAAATGGAAAGGAGTATCTTCCTGGGAAACAGCAAAAAGGAAAACATTTGAACACAGACTGGTGTTTCAGCAAGAGAGAAGAGTAATGGAGAAGTGGGGCTGAAGAAAATCATGACGCTGCATAGGAGGGATGAACATCAGGAGACAGTACGTATAACTGGAAAGGTGATTACAGAACAGACATAAACACTATTTTTATAAATACATGTGTGGGGCCACCCTGGTGGCGCAGTGGGTTGAGCGCAGCACTGTGAAGCTGTCCGCAGCCTCTGCAGCGTGGGTTCAATTTCCACCCGGCCAGGGAGCTACCCACATGGTGCAGCAGACCTCTCCTGTCTCACCCGCTGCTCCCCTCAGCAGTGTTTTCGGTCATTCTGTTCTGTTTCCCGCTCTATGTCTGATGAGTTATCTCACCCCCTGCAGTTCTGGCCTATTCCCCAGTTCTTGTATAAATAAATAAATCTTTAAAAATAAATGAATACATGTGTAATCACAATGGTATGAGGAACAGAAGGCCCAGAGATTTGCTATAACTGTTGCACTATTGAAAAAAATGAATATGATGGCAAGAAACTAGATTCTGGAATAGATATAGATTTGAACTCAGGGAATCTGCTACTATATCCTTTCTGAGGGTTGTAACTTTTAAACCTGGACAATGAAAAGCAGGTGACACATGAGGAACCCATGTGTAGGAGATGAAACATTGTGTGGGATGCTCTAAATGACAGGAAATGTATTTTGATTTAGGACTTGAAAAAAAGTTTAGATGAAAGAGGGCAATGGATTAACATAAGGTCTGGTTATTCATAGCAAAGAGTTGGGCTTTTAGTTTCAGAGAGACAAAATTGTCAGCAATCTAACATTTTGATCTGCATTAGCAGTATTACTGCATGTGCTATCCAGTTCTACATATGTACATATCTGTGTAGTTTATCTGGATTCATTTCTAAACATCAGTACTTTCCAGCAAGCTTACTAGATGATCAAGTAAATCTGAGGCCCACTGACTGAATCTTTTTTTTTTTTTTTAACATTTATTTATTTATTTATATAAGCACTGGGTACAGCCACTGACTGAATCTTATTCTTACATTATGCACTTACATTTTCTGAGCTTCTGACTTTTCTTCAAACTTCCTAACAGAATTTTAATCATTCACTTAAATTGTGAATTATTTTCAATTTTTTCTACTTTACATTCTATAACTCTCATTTTTGTGCCACCAGAAAGAACATTGTTTTTCACCTCTTTTTTCAGATTTGGAATCCAAGTATGAGATAAAGACTTTATCGGTAGGAAAGGGCATTATTGAAAACATTGGTTCTCAGTGTGAGAAAGTAAAAGAAAGTACTGATTTCATTGGTCTTGAGAGCACCATTTGCAGAAATGACAGGCAAAGCACAAACAAGATTGAAGTACAAGTATCTGCAATGGCATGTTTCCATCAAAAGAAAACCACCACAGAAAAAGTACCCAATTGCAAAAATCAGGTGTCTCTTACAATGCATCAGAGAAATCATGACAGCAAGAAACCTTGTGAGTATAAGGGATGTAGTAAGGTCCTGAACTGTGACTTAAAGTTTGATGACTATGAGAAAATATACAGTGGTGAGAAATTCAATGAATGTGATAGATGTTGGAAAACCTTTGGAGTTGATGACCCACATAACCTACAACTAAATATTCATACTGATGTGAAACCCTGTCTGTATATGAAATATGGGAATGCATTTAGTTTTTATGAAGACCTTAGAGCACACCATAAAATTCATGATGATCGGAAGTGCTATAAATATAAGGAGTACAAAAGGACCTTTAGGAGAAATGAAGAAACTACTCCACTTGAAAGAATTCACAGTGGTGAGAAACCTTATGAATGCACTTTCTGTGGGAAGTCCTTTAGAGTTCACGCACAACTTAATCGACATCAGAAAATCCATACTGATGAGAAACCTTACAAATGCATGGAATGTGGAAAGGACTTTAGATTTCACTCACAGCTAACTGAACATCACAGAATTCATACTGGTGAGAAACCATACAAATGTGAACAGTGTGAGAAGTTCTTTAGAATTAGTTCACAGCTTATTGAACATCAGAGAATTCATACTGGTGAGAAACCTTATGAATGTAAAGAATGTGGAAAGGCTTTCGGAGTCTGTAGAGAACTTGCCCGACATCAGCGAATTCATACTGGTAAGAAACCTTACAAATGCAAGGCATGTGGAAAGGTCTTTAGAAATAGTTCATCCCTGACCAGACATCAGAGAATTCATACTGGTGAGAAACCCTACAAATGTAAAGATTGTGGGAAAGCTTTTGGAGTAGGTAGTGAACTTACAAGACATCAGAGAATTCACAGTGGTCAGAAACCTTATGAATGTAAAGTATGTGGAAAATTCTTTAGACTTACTTCAGCCCTTATTCAACACCAGAGAATTCACAGTGGTGCGAAACCCTACGAATGCAAGGTTTGTGGGAAGCTCTTTAGACACAGTTCAGCCCTTACTGAACATCAGAGAATTCATACTGGAGAGAAACCTTATGAGTGCAAGTCATGTGGGAAGGCCTTTAGACATAGTTCATCCTTTACAAAACATCAGAGAATTCATACAGGTAAGACATCCTATGAATGTAAGGAATGTGATAATGCCTTTACTTAATATCAAAAAGTTACATTGGTGAGAAGTCTTTGGAACAAAAGGTATGTATAGACAGGCCTTTTGTTTCAGTTTATGTGGGGAAAAAAAGGGTGCATTTAATAAGAAATAATCAGGGGAATACAGTATCTCTCTCATTAAGTCCGTTGCCAGACTTTATGGACAGTCTAGAAGTAGAGTTGCTCCATCAGAGGTGATACTTATACTTTCTGCTCCTTTAGATAGCGCCAACTGTTTCTTTTTATATCAACATTCTTATCCATTTATGTAAGATACCTATTAATTCATTTCTGAAATGCATGGGAAATGTGTTTCCCTAATTATTATTTGTTATTTTCTTTTTTCTAGAAACAACCTAAATAATTATTAATGAATATTGTTATTTTCATAAGACTCTCTTATCCAGCATCATTTGCTTACACTTACACTTACATTTGATGTTCTTTTGTCTATTCCTTGTTTTGGCTTACTGATTTAAAATATTACTCAAAGACAACTTTCCCACTCTCATTTCTTGTCATAGATGTAATAAGTTTATCTTCTTCCAGGGAGTTAAAACTCCTAGGTAGATACCATGACTTTTAAAGACTTGAGCCCTGCATGGCGTTTGTATATTCTTGTTTAATTTACTATTGTTTTGTTTCACTGGTAGCTATGAAAGTTCTTTTCCATGGTCATTGAAAGGTTTACTTCTTTTTATAGTTCTGTTTTGTTTTGACATGACGAACTTCCCTAAATACCTCTTACAATTCCTTTAATGAATCTTTCCACCTCTAGGCAGTAACCAGCCAGGATGGAGAAGTCATTTGGAGTAACCAGCTCCAAATGGAAAGAGCACTTTTAAATATTTGATAAAAAGGATTACTCTAGTTTATCAGTCTCTTTATAAAAAAAAAGGAACAAATATACAACTATTATAATGATTATAAACAAATCAGTGAACTTATGATAAAAGTTTTTATTATATTACCATGGCTTCAACAGGGTTTTTTTAAGATCTATTTTTATTACAATTTTCCTCTATACTCCAAGTGTTAACTTACTGGGTTTTGGCAGTTGAATATTCAGTAGACCTTTGATTTTAGTAATCTTACCTGACTCCAAAACAAAGAAATGAGACAGTCACAGAGATAATATTGCAAACCTTACCTGTTTTATCATCCCTTTCTTAGTCAGGACAATTGACACTAGTTATACACTAAATATGATCAAAAAGCACTGGTTATTATAATTTTTTAAGAAAATGTACCTATTACCTTAAGTACCTATTATGTTACATTTATGTCAGAATTATTCACTAGATTTTAATTGCTGAAATTCATCTTTCCCAGAAACTTGACACTAACAACAGTAGTAAGGAAGCCATTTTCTTGCTGGGTATACTGAACTATGTTTTTTTAAATATTCCTTGTTAGTATTTTATTTAACTTAGCAGTTACTCAAAACATGTTATTGGCAGATATTTCCTATCTTACATAGCAAGAGACTGAGTCCTTGTTATTACCCTTTTAACGAGGATGTTTGCTATTTCATACCTTTGAAATTGAGATTAGCACTGTTCACTGAGCTACCCTATGATCACATTGCTGATTCTCTCTTGAAGGGCACTCTGTGAGGTTATTTTTTTTTAATTTATTTATTTATACAAGAACTGGGGTACAGGCCAGATGCGTGGGAGGGTGAGAGGACTCACCAGAGATAGAGCGGGGAACAGAACAGGCTGACTGACAAAATACACTGCTGAGGGGATCAGCAGGTGAGACAGGAGAGGTCTGCTGTGCCATGTGGGTATCTCCCTGGGCAGCAGGGATCGAACCTGTGCTGCAGAGGCTGTGGACAACTTCACAGTGTGGCGCTCAGGCGCCTTCATCACCAGGGAGGCCCTCTGTGTGGTTATTTTAAGTTACTAACAACACTAATTAATTTCCTTCTTCTCCACAACTACCAGCCCTCCACTTCTTTGTGAGTTTTTTCCTTGCCTGCATATGCAAATTAGAATAAGCTATCTAAACCTCCTATACCATGAAATTAAGGCAAACAAAATAACAGTATATCTTGGCACTTACTTTCTTGAGCATCACTAGTGAATAAATGAAAAATTAATTAATATAACATTTCTTTGTTATGTCTCCCTTATTTGTAACTGCAGATACATTTTGCTCATATTAATTTTCCCTGAACTTTGTCATGAACTCTTGTCATTTTATATACTGTTACTCCAATAAACCATAATTATATTGTTAACTCCTATAATGTGTTGCTTAAGTATAGGAATACAAATGTGTAATTAAGACTATTTCATTGTTGTGAGAATGTCACAAGAGTGTACTCACACAAACCTACAAGGTATAGCCTGCTACACGCCTAAGCCATATGGTGTAGCCTCTCCTGTAGCCTAGGCCACAAACCTGTACTAAGTACTGATTGTATCACGATGTTATTTCTATATGTAAACATCCAGACATTTTAAAAGACACAATAAGAATACAACATTAAGACTAGAAATGGAGGGCCTCCCTGGTTGCCTAAGGGGTAAGTCTTATCACTATCACTGCTATGGCCTGAGTTCGATCCCCAGCTAGCGAGCTATCCACATGGCACAACAGACCTCTCCTGTCTCACCTGCTGCTTCCCTCAGCAGTGTATTTCAGTGGATCTGACTATTCTGCTCCCCACTCTGACTCTGGTGAATCCTCTCACCCCGCCACACCTCTGGCCTATACCCCAGTTCTATGCAAGAATAAATAAATAAAATCTTAAAAAAGTAAACAAAAATAAAAAGATTACAAATAGAACACTAACCAGAAATGTGCATGCAGTTGAGTGTCAGAGAGTGATTGGTGAGTGAAAGAGAAGGCCTAGAACATTACACACTACTCAAGGCTTTCTAAACACTGTAATCTTAAGCTACCCTAAATTTGTTTTAGAAAAAATACTTTTCAATATTAAATTAACCTTAGTTTACTGTATATAAACTTTTTGATTAACTCTGACTCCTGTGTAGTGACTCTTAGCTTATAAACACATTGTATAGCTACACAAGACTATTTTCCTTAAGATTCATTTTTATTTATTTATGCATACAAAATCTGGGGTATATATTGCCAGAGGTGCAGGGGGTGGAGGATTCACCAGAGACAGAGTGGGAAGCAGAACAGGCGGATCGACTGACATACACTGCTGAGGGGATCAACGGGTGAGACAGGAGAGGTCTGCTGCGCCATGTGGGTCACCTCCCTGGCCAGGGATTGAATTCGCGTTGAAGTGGCTACAGATAGCTTCATAGTGCCGACGCCTAACTCCTTGTGCCACCAGGAAGGCCCTCCCTCACTGTTCTTGATTATAGCTGGAATGGGACATGCCTGAGGAGCTGTAATCATCACTGACTGTCCTCTGTATTCCTTAATCATATTTGTTTCCAGGTAAATCGCTCAATGTGACCTCTTACTGGCAACATTAGCAGCTTTTGTGCATTTAGAGCACATGTGGAAGAAGAAAAATCAAGAACACAGGGAAATGATGCTATCAAGAGATGTGGTAAACACAAGATGTATGAGGCTACCACGGGTGTAAAATGCTATGGTGTTACCATGGCAACATTACTAGGAGATCACTGTGGTATAGGAGTTGTGTGATTCACTAAAATGTCATGCAGCACATGAATATGTTGGTTTTGCTACTTCTGTTTGGTGCTCCAGCTGATAAAACTTCATTCCTTTCCCATTTCCATTTGTTGGTTATCCTTTCCACATTTCCCCTAGCCCACATGGCTTTTTTTTTTCTACATACAACTGGAATATTCCATACTTATACTGTTATTACTGCACGAAATCATTAAGTGGGCTACCTACAATGACAGGAATCTGGTTCTATTTCTTTAAGATTTTATTTATTTTTGCATAGAAGAATTGGGGTGCAGGGCAGAGGTATGGGGGTGAGAAGATTCACCAGAGACAGAGTGGGGAGCAGAACAGGCAGATCTACTGAAATACACTGCTGAGCGGAGCAGCGGGCGAGACAGGAGAGGTCTGTTGCGCCATGTGCGTCAGCAACCTGGCCAGGGATGGAATTCAGGCTGTCATAGGTAGTAGCGCTTTGTGGTATTAGCACTGAGACTTAACTCCTAGGCCACCAGGGAGGCACTGGTTCTATTTAATGGTAAAGAATTCTAATTGATAAATGTAAAAGGAATGAGAGAAGCAGGAATTCACCATGATAACAACAGCAATTATATACAAAATCCACTGATAGATGCTAAAATCTGATGGCAAAAGGTTGAAGAAAAACAGGATATTGGAATTATCTTACTGTTTTTAGTTACAAAGAGAAAATACCACATATGTCACCTTAGCCAACTACTAACCAGTAATAAGACACTGGCAGCCTCCCTGGTGGCGCAGGGGTTAAAGTCTCAGCTCTGTCAAGCTATTGCCTGCCACTGCAGCCTGAGTTCCATCCCCGGCTAGGGAGCAACCCACATGGTGCAGCAGACCTCTCCTGGCTCTCCCGTTGCTCCCCTCAGCAGTGTACTTTGGTCAATCTGCCTGTTCTGTCCCTCACTCTATCTCTGGTGAATCCTCTCATCCTCCGCACCTCTGGCTTGTACCCCAGCTCTTATATGCATAAATAAATACATCTTTTAAAAAAGACACTACACAAAGAGATGTATTAGAAGGGCACATCACTTGGGTAGTAGTCTCACCAGAAAAAAATACATACCCATGATCTAATAACTAGGTAAAACTGCAGCAAACCCAAAACGAAGGCGGCTCTATAAATGTATCCAATACTCCAAAGTCTCATTACCTCTCGAGGTATGAAAGGCAAGGGAAGAGACTGCGAAACTCTCAACGATAGGAGAGGACTAAGGAAACTTGATGGAAAAAAACACATAATTCTGGATTGAATCTTTGGAACATTAGCCAAGAAAATTTGGCGACATCCAAATAAAGAGTGTTGTTTAACTGATGAGATTATATCAACGTTAAGGTCCTAGTTTTAGTCATCGCACTATGCTTCTGTAAGATGTTAATATAACACCAACCGTCCAAAGCCCTGCCATTTAACTGGCCAACAGCCTCGGGGCTGCGCCTGTTTCCCACCAGCCTCCCTCCTCACTGTTCATACCTTCCAACCCTCTCACCATTTGTTTGGGTCCTTGGCAGCCTGCCCAGACTGATGGTGCCTAAGGGCTTTCCGAAACCACCTCCTAACAAGTCATAATCAAACATCCTGGGACACAGTCACAGAACAGACTTAATACTCAATCTCCGTCCCCGCCCCACACTCTGGACTTTTCACCTGGGGTGTCCCCGAAAGCAGTCAGTCCCTAGCGACCCAGCTATGCCGCTCAGCGAGCAGCACTGGGGAGCGGACAGCAAACCTCAGCAACGTCATCCTCGCCGCGCGCAGAGGCGCGCGCGGCGCCTTCTGGGAAATGTAGTTCAGCGCCACGAGCAAGATGGCGGCCCGCTGGATCCCAGCCAGAGCGTCCCCGGCTTCCATCTCCCAGACTCGAACAGCGCCTCGCAGTCTTCTGCGCCTGGCGCAGCCTCGCACAGTCGCCCTACTTGGAGTCAGCGCGGGGTGCTTTGGTGCTGAAAGGTGACTGGAATTACTGAAACTTCCGGGGAATGTAGGCCACAGTCCTAAAAGAGAAGGACCAGCCAGCAGCGGCCGACCCCGAGGTCACCGAGTCCCGCTCGGCGGAGCCCGGAGGCCTCTGGGAGTGCGCGCCCGCCCGAGGAGTGCGCAGGCGCACACGCCCCGGCTCGCCATCGTCCTCTTTGTCTGCTGGTGAGTTTGGTTTTGGGTCCGCGAACCGCGATCTGGGTGTGGGACCTAGGTTTTGGGGTTCCAAACCCGGGCAGGAAGGCTGAAGGGGAGGATTGGTGGCGCCCGCGACGGCACCCGGGAGATGGAAGGGGAGGAATCGCCTCCGGAGGCGAGCCGCGCTCGGAGCTCGGCGTGGATGGGGGCAGGGGCGCGGGAGGCGCCTGGGGCGGGCGGCGGCGTCCAGAGGTGGGCGAGGGGTGCGCGGTTGCCACCTGTGTGGGGAGCCGTGGTTGCACCTTTGTGGCCGTGAGTGGATGGCATTGTGCGCTTTGGGGGGTAGTAACCGCTAAGCCTCATGTTTCTCATTTCTAAAATAATAAAGATGCATTTTTTTGTGGAACAGGCATTTTTCTGACAGAAAGGGCAAAGGCTAAGGAATTGAGCAGTCCGTGATTTTAAAAGCGGTTTTTATGCAAAAGTGGGCTGATGGTGAAGTCGAAAAAGAAGTCAGCGTTCATTTTTTTAGGAGGAAGGATTTCTGGAAAACTTGTTGGGTGTCTAGACTCCCAACTTGAGTTTTCTTAATTCTTTGGAGGAACTATGGTTGCACCGCTTTGAGAAGCCCTGGACTAAGAAATAGCAGTAAGAGGTAGTTACTACTAGTGCAGACAGCAGCCAGTTAAGCAGTTTGTCCTGCACAGAGATCAAGTTGGCAATTTAAGACGCTCTGGTTTTTCGGTGAGTTTTGTAATCTGACTTCTGGCTACAAAGACAGGTCTATCTGTAAAAACATTAAAGTTTTTTTTTTTTAAGATTTATTTTTATTTAATTATACAAGCACTGGGTACAGCCAGAAGCGCAGGAGGGTGAGAGAACTCACCAGAGCCAGAGCGGGGAGCAGAGCAGGCAGAAGGACCAAAGCACACTGCTGAGGGGAGCAGCGGGCGGCAGGAGAGGTCTGCACGCCTTGTGGGACCCTCCTCCAGTGGCCGGGGAGCAGCCGGGGATCGAACCGGCGCTGCAGAGGCCGCGGGCAGCTTCGCAACCCAGCGCTCAACCGCTGCGCCCCCGGGGAGGCCCCATTCAAGTATTTTATCACGCTTAACTAGGGAATGAAAAAGTAGTCAGTGATAGTTATTTTTTTCATTTTTAAGAGGACATGCTTATTATGAAAAAGATGATAGTTATTTAAGAGACTTTTATTTACAATGACAACACATCAGATAAAATACCTAGGGATAAACAAATCTTTAAAGCCTATATGAAGTTTTTTTTAATGTTTTTGAAGGACCCAAAAAAAGCTTAAACAAATGGACATACATATCTTAGACTTTAAAGGTATTTTGTTATGTGAAGAAAGCAGAGTGTACAATGTTAGATATAATACTTTTTTTGAGTAAAGAGGGGATAAGAATGGGTATTTGTGGGCCTCCCCGGTGGCGCAGCGGTTGAGGGCTGGGCTGCGAAGCTTCCCGCAGCCTCTGCAGTGCTGGTTCGATACCCGGCCACTGGTGAGGGTCCCACATGGCTGCAGACCTCTCCTGCCACCTGCTGCTCCCCTCAGCAATGTCTGCCTGCTCTGCTCTCTGCTCTGCTCTCTGCTCTGACTCTGGTGAATTCTCTCACCCTCCTGCGCTTCTGACTGTACCCAGTGCTTGTATAAATAAATAAATCTTTTTTTTTAAGAAAGGGTATTTGTAATTGCATGAAGAAAGTTTAAGTTTATATAGAAAATAAAGTTTGTGGGCAGAGGATGCCTCCCATTCCACCACCTGTTTCCTTGAAGGATATTTCAATTAATCCTTTTCTGCTCCCCCCACCCCCCAAAAAAGAAAGTAAACATTGTGGAGGAAGATGTAGCACCTGGGGCAGGGGTTAGAATCACATTTTACTGTTTCAACGTTTTGTGCATTTTCATTTTTTTTTTTAAAGATTTATTTATTTACTTATATAAGCACTGGGTACAGTCAGAAAAGCAGGAGGGTGAGAGAATTCTCCAGAGCTAGAGCAGGGAACAGAACAGGCAGACTGATGAAATACACCGCTGAGGGGAGCAGCAGGCATGGCAGGAGAGGTCTGTTGCGCCATGTGAGACCCTCCCCGGTGGCCGGGGATCGAACCGGCGCTGCAGAGGCTGTGGGCAGCTTCGCAGCCCAGCGCTCAACCGCTGCGCCACCAGGGGAGGCCCTGCATTTCCATTTTTTAACTGGGGTGGAGGAATTAGATTTCTATGTTTGTTCTATTCCATTTCGGATGTCTATCACCCCATCATTCTGGAATGTTTTCTTGACTTCTGTGATACTCTAATTCCAGTGAAAACCAATCCTCCCCCAAAGTTCATTAGTGACTTCCATTTCTGTTTGTCCTTTAACTATTAGGGTTCCGAGGTTTCTTTCTTTGTCTTGTCTTTCCTTCCTTCCTGCTTTCCTCCCTCCCTCCCTCCCTCTCTCCACCCCCCCTTTCTCTTTTCCTCTTTCTTCCTTCCCTTTCTTTCTTTCTTTTTCTTTTTCTTTTCTTTTTGCGTAGATCTGGGATGCGTGCCAGAGGTGAAGGGGAAAGAGGTTTGAGAGGACTCACCAGAGGCAGAGTGGGGAGCAGAACAGGCAGACTGACTGAAATACTTTGCTGAGGGGAGCAGCAGGTGAATCAGAAGTCTGCTGTACTATGTGGGTCAGCTCCCTGGTGGTGGATCGAACTCACGCCCTTGAGGTGATAGTGTGACAAAACCTCCAAGAGTGTTCCTAGGTTTCTGGCTTTGATCATCCTTTTTCACCTGGAAGCTCTTTATGAGAAGCATCATTTCATTGCTGTGACTTCACCTGACACAGTGACTAAGAGGCGTGCATTGGTGTTTGAGGCTTGTCCTGAGCTCCGGGTCCGTATAGATGGCTGCACCCGGCTGTTTAGGATAGTACACTGATTTCCTTCCTCCCATGATTTCCCTCTATCCATTCCCACGTTGACATTACCTGTTTCACCAATTCATAGCTCTGTCAGCCTGATTATAAGCCTCATCTGAGTAAGGAAAAAGCTAAGTTTGTTACCTGTCACACCCATTTATACATTGGAGGCTATGATCTCTTCAGTTACACATAATAAATGATAAATATATATTTACTGGATCAAGAGGGCATTGATACTAATTAACTTCTTCTAGAGTAATGTAACCTAGGGAAACCATTAAGCTTCTAAAATTTTACGAATTCTGATACATGAATAATACCAGAATAATTACCTTTACATTTGAGCCATATCACTCAATGTCACTGAGTTGACATTTGTGAGTAATGTTATGGTGGAAACTGATATTCAGACTATTCCGTCAGGAGCCAGGTTACCAAAGATGGTACTTGTGCAAGTGCTGATTCTGGAGAACTGTAGCAAGTTAGTCTTACAGTTTCTCTTATTCTGAAAACAGGGTGTCTACTGTTTCTCATTTCTGAAATGTGTGGAGGCTTTAGATGGTGTAACGGGTTTGGCCTCGGATGCAAAATGTAAATACACTGCTTCTGAGTGCTCCCGTGTGTACATCTGTGTTCCAGCTTCTAGGCAAAGGGTCATATTACTTTTGTTCTTTTTACAGACCAGTTTCTTTGTGTACCCTGAGGAGCTCCAGTTACTTCTTCAACACCTCTGTCAGTTCAAGGGCTCAGCCTGAATTCTGGGTGCTGCTTTCACCCCTAACTGTAACATCCAAGTCCCTAGTCACTATTTAGAAGTTTGAAATCACCAGTTCAAAGAAGAACAGCAATGGATTGAGAAAGAAATACTCTCGCAGGTGAGTAAGAATCCAGTAGGTATGAATAGATCAAAGGGTCATTTCAGTTATTTAGTAACCTCTCTAATTATTTATTTATTTATCTATTTATTTACTTATTTTAGATTTTTTGGCAGTTGCTAAGAATTCTTTAGATTCCCAAATAGCATTCACAGAGACCAATGCTCTTCTTTCCTCAGGTTCTGAAGGACTGGTTACCCTTCTTTTTTTTTTTTTTTTTAAGATTTATATATTTATACAAGAACCGGGGGGTACAGAGCAGATGTGCAGGAGGGTGAGAGGATTCACCAGAGACAGAGTGGGGAACAGAACAGGCAGACTGACGAAATACACTGCTCGGGGGAGCAGCGGGCATGACAGGAGAGGTCTGCAGTGCCATATGGGATTCTCACCTGCTGGCCGGGATCGAATCTGCGCTGCAGAGGCTGCAGACAGCTTCACAGCGCGGCACTCAACCGCCTGCGCCACCAGGGAGGGATGCCAACCTTTCTACCTCATTTGTATTCTCAGTTTTATGATTTTTACATCCTGAGTTTCATGTTCTCTCTTTCGCTAATATTCTACATTTTTCATTTCTGCGTACATGTTGAGACTCTTTTCCTTAAGCCTTCGCTTCTTGGAAAGGGTTACCGATGTGTACTCTAAAAACTAGCAAGTAGATTCTCTTTTTAAAGATGTCACTTTTCTATCATTTCTCCCACCTTTCCTTATTATAAACCAGAGTTGAATTTTGCCCCCTCCCCTTTTTTTTTTTTTTTAAAGATTTATTTATTTATTTATTTATTTATTTATTTATTTATTTATGCAAACGCTGGGTACAGTTAGAAACGCAGGAGGGAGAAAGGATTCACCAGAGCCAGAGCGGGGAACAGAACAGGCAGACTGATGAAATGCACTGCTGAGGGGAGCAGCGGGCGGCAGGAGAGGTCTGCCCGCCATGTGGGACCCTGTCGGGGGGCTGGGGATGGAACCGGTGCTGCAGAGGCTCCAGGCAGCTTCGCAGCCCAGCGCTCAACCGCTGCGCCACTGGAGAGGCTCATTGCCCCCTTATTTACTGTGGTCTTCTTACCTCCAATTGTCATAATTCAAAATTTCTCCACTCCCCTGCTTTTTAATGCTTGGGAGTTAATACTGACTTCCTATTTGCTCACCTCCCCATTGCTTTTTAAAAAGAAATAATACTATTATTCTTAAAATTTAGTACAGAGCCTCTCTGGTGGCGCAGGGGTAAAGTCTCAGCGCTGTCAAGCCATCACCTGCTACTGCAACCTGAGTTTGATCCCCAGCCAGGGAGCTACCCACATGGTGCAGCAGACCTATCCTTTCTCACCTGCTGTTCCCTTCAGTAGTGTATTTCAATAGATCTGCCTGTTCTGTTCCCCACTCTGTCCCTGGTGAATCCTCTAACCCCCTGCACCTCTGGCCTATATCCCAGTTCTTGTATGCATAAATAAATAAAATAAATCTTTTAAAAAATTAGTACATATACTTTATAGAAAATTAAAAGAGTGACTTTTTTCATCATTCCTGGCCCTCAGGTCTTCATTTCTGTCCCCAGAGGCAGCCACTATTAGCGGTGTGTACTTCTGAGTGTCTGTATGAGGACATGGGAGGCTTTGAGACAGAGCAGTGACATGATTGGATTGTGACTGGCTAGTGTATTGAGAAGAGCTGTAAAGTGGCAAAGACAAAAGTAGGAACAAAATGCATAGCCTGTTACAGTCATCCAGGGAGACGGGATGGCCAAGGCTTTTGGTAGTCCCAGAGAGATGTGTGGGAATAACAACATCAGAGCATACTTTGAAGATGAAACCAATATGATGTGAAGATATTTCTGTGTGACCTGAGATAGTGTGTCATGGCTTGAGCAACTGAGAGAATGAGGTTGCTACTTAGAGAGATGAGAAGAATTTGGGAGGAGTGGCTTTGGGAGAGCAAGAGTTGGGGTTTGGGTGGACTTCATTACATCCTCATGAGACATCCAAGTGGAGATCTCAAGTAGCCAGTTGGATATATGAATCCAGATTGCTAAGGAGACATGTCCAGGCTGCTGACGAAATATTTTCAAATATAAATTATAAATCAGAATGCTCAAATGTCAAGTAAACTCTTAAGCATATTCTATATAAATGGTGATCTGTCAGAGAGGATGTTGGCAAACTACAGACCGTCATGTGTTTTTTTTTAAAGATTTCTTATACAAGCACTGGGTACAGTCAGAAGTGCGGGAGGGTGAGAGAATTCACCAGAGCCAGAGTGGGGAGCAGAGCAGGCAGAAGGACCGAAGTACACTGCTGAGGGGAGCAGTGGGCATAGCAGGAGAGATGTGTTGCGCCATGTGGGACCCTCTCCGGGAGCCAGGGATCGAACTGGCGCTGCAGAGGCTACGGGCAGCTTCGCAGCCCAATGCTCAACCGCTGCGCAACCAGGCGAGGCCCCATCATGTGTTATTTTTTTTGTCAGTGACTGTTTTCATGGTAGAGCACCTTAGTTGATTAAGCATCTGCAGGACTGAAAAGTGTATCAATGATGATAAAATAAAATTACTATAACAGACCTCAAAATGTACTGGTTTAAGGAACAGAAATTGTATTTTTTTTTTTTCAATTTTTTTAAAAGATTTATTTATTTATATAAGCACTGGGGTACATGCCAGAGGCAGGGGAGGGTGAGAAAATCCACCAGAGACAGAGCAGGGAGCAGAACAGGCAGAAGGACAGAAATACACTCCTGAGGGGAGCACTGGGTGAGTCAGGAGAGGTCTGCCACGCCATGTTGGTTTCTCCCTGGCTGGCCGGGAATCGAACTGCGGAGGCTTCGGACAGCTTCACAGCGCTGCACTTAAGCTGCTGCGCCACCCGGGAGGCCTAGAAATTGTTTTCTTGGTCACATAACAGTTAGGTAGTGAGTAATTAAGAGTAGTGAGTAATCAAGCTACCAAGTAATCATGGTGGCTTGGATCTTTGTGACTATTAAGGAACCAGATTTCTTCCATGTTGTCTCCACATTGCGAGTTCGAGCTAGATCAGCAATGCATCCTGGTTCCAGCAGGTGGAGGAAGCACAATCACCTCTCCAGGGCAAGAGATGAGAAAACTTTTTGTTAAGGGCCCGCTAATAAATATTTTAGGCTTGTATACCATACAGCCCCTGTTAGAACTATTCCATTCAGGTATTAAAGCACAAAAATAATTTGCTTGACATTAGGCCATTCATATTTATATATATATTTTTTTTTTGGTAAAGATTTATTTTGTTTATGCATACAAGAGCTGAGATATAGGACAGAAATGTGGAGGTGAGAGGATTCACTAGAGACAGTGGGGAGCAGAACAGGTGATCTACTGAAACACTGCTGAAAGGAGCAGCGGGCAAGACAGGAGAGGTCTGCTGGGCCATGTGGGTCAGCTCCCTGGCTGGGGATCAAACTCATGCTGCAGTGACTGCCTTAGCTTCATAGTGCTGACACTTAACCCATTGCACCACCAGTGAGGCCCTCATATTTATATTTTGAAATTGTTTTTTAAATCATAAGATAAATGCTGTTAAAAATGATCATTTTGCCTAATAGTCCGATGATTTTGCTTAATCATTTTATAATATGGTTTATTCTGATAAGTGTGTATTAAGGATGTTGATGTAACCCTTATAAAAATATAAGGGACAGGGGCCTCACTGGTGGAGAAAGGGCTTAAAGTCTCAGCACTCTGAAGCTACAGGAAGCCACTGTAGCAGGAGTTAGATTCCAGCCAGAGATCTGCCCCACATGGCGCAGCAGACCTCTCCTGCCTCACCCGCTGCTCCCCTCAGCAGTGTGGATTTTCCTGTTTTGCTCTGCACTCTATCTCTGGTGAATCCTTTCACCCCCACACCTGTGGCCTACACCCCAATTCTTCTACGCAAAATAAATAAGTAAATAAAATCAGCATGTAAAGCTGTCTATGCCCTGGGCTTTGGAATGAGGAAACACATTAACAATTGTCTCTGTTTTTATTCTCTGTTTAAATTTTATTTCTGTTTAGATTTTTTGTCTTTCCTGGTCTTAGTTTTCATTAGTTGTATTTGCTAGGTTTTCATATTACTTTGCATAGGGTTGAACAAAATAGTGTCCACAATGCTTATTTTCTGTTTACAGTTATTTCCAAATAATACATTTTTATTTTTGTAATTTTTCTCATGTTCTTCTATTTTTTCCCTAAAAATCAGCTTGTGAATTTCTTATTCAATTTTTCTGTTAGCAGTACATTGATTTCTTTTCATATCTTTGCTAAATTTTGTTTTTCTTATGTTTGCTTCATTGTAATTCCTTAATTTCAATGTTTATTATCATTACTATTCCTTTTTAAAATAATATAAATATTTATGCTAAAATTTCTTCCTATATTTTTTCCATGTGTGTTCTATGGGTGCTGATAGGTACTTTTTCTAAATAATATATTTAAATATTTAGCAGTTTAATTTTCTCTTTGACCAAGGAATTTGTTCAAATCAGTAGATTTCTTATTTTGAAATTTACATATGAAAGTTTTTGTTTTTCTAATTTATGTCCTTTTTTAAGTCAGAGTTTCTTATCTGCCCTTGGCTTAGTTTTACATTTCTGAGATTAATTCATGAATATGTAAGTATTTGATTCCTTTTAAAATGCTAATTATTACTACATAGTATGGACATAATGTTTCTATTCCCCAGTTGATAGACATTTTATAATTTCAGTTTTCTGGCTTTATGAGTAATATTATGCACATTCAAATACTAGTATGTGTATGAACATATGCATTCATTTTTCTTAAAGGCCTAGGAGTGGAATTGCTAGGTAGAATAATATTAAGTACACATTTAGCTTTTTAAATTTTTTTTAAAGATTTATTCATTTATGTATGTAAGAACTGGCGTACAGGACAGAGTGCGGGGGGGTAAGACGACTCACCAGAGACAGAGTGGGGAACAGAACAGCAGACTGACTGAAATACACTGCTGAGGGGAACAGCGGGCGAGGCAGGAGAGGTCTGATGCGCCATGTGGGTCAGCTCCCTGGCCGGGGATCGAACTCAGGTTGCAGTGGCTGCGGATAGCTTCATAGGTCTCATCCCAACCCCTTGAGCCACCAGGGAGGCCCCCATTTTTCTTTTCTTAATAGTTTCATTGCATATGTTGAGATCGGTGTTCCATTTGAAGTAAATTTTACTTATGATATGCAGTGTGTTGTGCTATATTTTTTCTAATTATGGAAATTATAGTGTATATTTCATGACATTGTATTACAGAATCAGTTCTTGCAATGATTTGTAAGAAAGTGAGGATAAAGGAGCCCCTGGTGGCACACGGGGTTAAGACTCAGCACTATGAAGCCACTGCAGCATGAGTTCAATCCCCAGCCAGGGAGCTACCCACATGGCGCAGCAGACCTCTCCTGTCTTGCCTGCTGCTCCCCTCAGCAGTGTACTTCATTCGATCTGCCTGTTCTGCTCCCCACTCTTGTCTCTGGGGAATCCTCTCACCACCACCGCCCCCACCCCTGCACCTCTGGCCTACACCCCAGTTCTTCCATGCAAAGATATAGAAATAAAATCTAAACAATTAAAAAAATAACCCCAGTAGAATGGGTTTAGGACTCTTTTCTGCATGTAACTTTTTACTCATCTTTTTCTTTCCAGTATGGTACTGTCATTCGTTTCACCTGTCATCACTAAGTATGGAACCTCTTGGTTATACCTTGTCTGTACAGTAAATTTTTATTTCCTTCTGGCTAGGAGAGTTGGACACATTACCTACTCCTTTTGTAATTATATAATAAGCCCACCTTCCATTCTCTCTCAGTTGCTCCAGTTACAGAGCTTTTCTGTGACATCTATGAGACATATTATCTTGCTTCTAGTTAGTATTCTCACCTGCTCACTTGTCATGTAAGCCCCTCACTTCTACTATTAATTTGCAGTCTTTTATTTGCTTTCCTTTCAGAATTTCATAGCAGTTTTTATACATTACTTAATCTCCTCAACCTTTCAGTTTTTGTGAGTACATGCCCTGCTACACCCCCTTACTGTTTAAAGATTTATTTATGTATAGAAGAACTGGGGTACAGGCCAGAGGTGGGGTGTGTGTGTGTGAGAGAGGATTCATCAGGGACAGAGTGGGGAGCAGAACAGGAAGACTGACTGAAATACACTGCTGAGGGTAGCAGCGGGTGAGACAGGTGAGATCTGCTCCACCAGTGGGTAGCTCCCTGGCTGGGGAACGACCTCGTGCTTCAGAGGCTGCGGATAGATTCTCAGTGCTGTGCTTATTAACCCCTTGCGCCACCAGGGAGGCTCCCCTTACTGTCATTTTAATGGAGTTTCACAAAGCCGTAGAAATACCTTATTTAATCACATATCCTGTTTAATTATCTTTCAGTTCATTATTTTTCATTCATCATAAGTGGCTGGTTTACCAAGTTTTATTTTTGTTCTTATTTTGTTTATTACCTCTTTTTTTTTCTCTTAGGTTACATTTTTTTTCTCTTAAGGTACATTTAAAAGCTGGGCCTCCCCGGTGGCACAGTGGTTGAGTGCTGGGTTGCGAAGCTACCCACAGCCTCTGCAGCGCTGGTTCGATCCCCGGCCACCGGGCGAGGGTCCCACATGGCGCGCAGACCTCTCCTGCCGCCCACTGCTCCCTCATCAGTGTACTTCGTCAGTCTGCCTGTTCTGTTCCCCGCTCTGGCTCTGGTGAATTCTGTCACCCTCCCGCTCTTCTGACTGTACCCACTGCTTGTATGAATAAATAAATAAATCTTTAAAAAAAAAAAAAAGAAGTGTAGTAGGGAACAATAAAGAATTTGAAAAAAGAAAAATAAAAGTTGCTTAAACTATGTGAGCCTATAAATGTTATTCGTAGCCCAGCTTTCTTTCATATTGATAGAATCAGTCTGAGTATTTCATAATAGCACATTTCTGCATTTTATTAATAGCAGAAAAGTCTCAAATGTTGACGTGATAATGATATTGACAATAACTACTTTATCTTGATATTTTCTGCATGTCAGGCACCAAATATTTTACAGTTATTCTTTTCAATGGTTTGTTGTGTTTTTGCTTTTTTTTTTAATTCCTTTTAGAGAAGACCTGGGGATTTATAAGTAGATGAAGACACAACATGAAAGATTTGTCAATTTAGTTTCATCCTCCTCTGTGAAAATACAGCTAAGGAAAAACATAGACAGCCTAGTAAACAGAAAAGTATTTTCTCTGATCACCAACACTGATTCTTTAAAAGTACACCTACATACGTGTGACTACGTTTTAAAGTGTTGGGAACATAATTTGTACTTAAATTAGAGAAGATGTCTAAGAAAGGATCCTTAAGAATTAAATGAGGATGCTGTATTTCTCCATCTTTTAATAGTCTAATCTGCAAATAACCAGTGTGAAAAGTCTTTCATCATAAATTCATCATTACTAGATACCCAAGAGCTAATATTGGAGACGATTCCTATAATTTAGTGAATGTGGAAAAGCTTTCTTCCATGTTTCATATCAAGAGATACTAAGGAATTCTTGTTGGAGAAAATACCTTTGCATGATAAAAATGTTGGAAAGCCTTCAGCCTGAATCAGATCTCCTTCAGCATGATCAAATTCAGACTAGAGAGATACCATTTGAGTGTAATGAATGTGGAAAAACCTTTAGCTTGAAGCAAAATCTTACAGAACATAAGAAAATGCATACTGAAGAGCATTCACACAAATGTCCCGAATGTGGTAAGGTGTTCTCCCGAGTCTCATCCCTTACTCTGCATTTGAGAAGTCATACAGGAAAGAAACCATATAAATGTAATAAATGCGGAAAAGCCTTCAGCCAGAAAGGAAACTTACTTTCTCATCAGAAACATCACACTGGAGAAAAATCTTATGAATGTGGGAAGGCCTCTATTCAGATGCCAGGTCTCATTAAACGTCAGAGAAATTGTACTGGGAACAAACCCTATTCATGTAAAGAATGTGGGAAAGCCTTCAATGGCAAATCATATCTCACTGAGCATGAGAAAATTCATACAGGAGAGAAACCATTTGAATGTAATCAGTGTGGAAGAGCCTTCAGCCAGAAGCAGTACCTCATTAAACATCAAAATATCCATAGTGGAAAGAAACCCTTTAAATGTAATGAGTGTGGAAAAGCCTTTAGCCAGAAGGAAAACCTAATTATCCATCAAAGAATACATACTGGAGAGAAACCTTATGAATGCAAAGGGTGCGGGAAAGCCTTCATTCAGAAGTCGAGTCTCATTAGACACCAGAGAAGTCACACAGGAGAGAAACCCTATATATGTAAGGAATGTGGGAAAGCCTTCAGTGGCAAGTCAAATCTCACTGAGCATGAGAAAATTCATATTGGAGAGAAACCCTATAAATGTAATGAGTGTGGAACAATCTTTAGGCAGAAGCAGTACCTCATTAAACATCACAACATTCATACAGGAGAGAAACCCTACGAATGTAATAAATGTGGAAAAGCCTTCTCTCGAATCACGTCACTTATTGTACACGTGAGAATCCATACAGGTGATAAACCTTATGAATGTAAAATCTGTGGGAAAGCGTTCTGCCAGAGTTCATCTCTCACTGTGCATATGAGAAGCCATACAGGTGAGAAGCCCTATGGTTGTAACGAATGTGGGAAAGCCTTCTCGCAGTTCTCGACGCTTGCTCTACATATGCGAATCCATACTGGAGAAAAACCTTACCAGTGTACTGAATGTGGGAAAGCTTTTAGCCAGAAGTCACATCACATCAGACACCAGAGAATTCATACTCATTAAAGCTCTGTGAATCCCTTGAAGTTAGGAAAACCTTCAACAGAATTCATGCTAATAGTATTTCAGAAAATTCATTTTACAGTAAAGTGTTATGAATGTGGCAAGTTCTTCAACAGTGCAAAACTTAAAGCACTGAGAATTTGAGTAAGCATACTGTCATGAAAACCCAGCTCCCCATGACTCCCAGCACAAACATTATTTATGCTGTAGTTTCGGGAACGTTTTCATTGAAATAAGGATTCAGTCATGGACACTAATCAACATGGTTCTGAAAGACCCACCTGATGCATTAAGACAAAGATATGAGGTATTTGTAATTAGAGGAACCAAAATTGTCCCTTTTTTGGTCATGTTTTCTATAAATATATCATCAAATTTAGTTGCTTTTGATGCAGCCATAGGGAAGACTGTGACAGAATATTGTATCCAGAAACATGCATGCCTTTATAGGAAATTGGTAATTAACAAAGGTGGCATCATACGTTGGTAGGGAAATCATGGATTATTTTCAAAAATGGTCTCAGGGTAACTGACTCTTCATATAGAAAGAGAATAGATTTTTGCTGTTGTCTTAAAATACTGACTCTGAAATCCAAAAATATTGCAGGCTAATGCAAACAGCAAAACATAGGAATTTTGCAGGAAAATGATATTAAAACCTTGGGATAGGGCAAAATTTCTATAATAGATTCCAGAATACCCACTCTTGAATATATACACACACACATATAAAACATCCGTTGAGTGTGTGTATATATACACACATCCATATACTCAATAAAATGAATTTTATACCTTTATCTTATTTGTAGCATGAATTATTAAAAAATTGGAAACAAATATATGTTGCTTGTGAAATGGTTAAATAAAATGTGATGTAGTCACACAGAGTATTCTATAGTAGTTAAGTACAACAAATTATATTAACAAAGATCTAAACCATGTAAAGAAAGGTGATTACAGTGATAACTGAATTAAATCAACACTAGTATTCAATGTTGGTTATGTTACATATTTTCATGTAAAACTGAATAATGGATTAAAAGGATACACATTCAGTTCATAAAAGTTTTTGTCTAGGAATTAAAGTGATGGAAGGGAAGTGGGACCAAGCATGGTAATTAAAAAGAAATAAAGTTTCCAAGTAAATATAACAATGTTAGTTAATTCTGGGCTGTAGTATGATATATGTGTTTTATTGTTTTTGCTATTTCTTTAAAACTTCTGTAAAACAAAAAAAAAAAGATAGGCATATATAAGTTGTACATGGAGTCACACTCCCAGTCAGATGCTAATATGGAAAGATTTCTAAAATCCTATCATTACTATAAAATGAAATAACTTTTTAATTGAGGTTGTAGCTTACTAAAATCAGGTGTTTACTCATGGCACATCACTAAGTTAAAGCTTGGTTTTGCAACAGGTTGGATGATGTAACAGTCATATCATTTAATAATACATGCACAGATTTGGTAGAGAGAATTCATTTTACTGAAACACTAGAAATTTTAACGGGTCACATAACCAGTTGGCATTACAAATTGTTGAAATGAAGGAAGCATGTTACTTTTTTCTTTTTAATATGCCACTGAGTAAAACATTAACTCTTGCATTTCAGCTTCAGTTTTGGCTTTAGGTTTATAATTTTTTTCTCAGTTCTGCCAAACACAGATAGCCCCTCTCTCTTTTTCCCCTCTCCCTGTTTGTTTCTTGGGGGCAAATGGTGCTTTAAAAAGGAGACAGTGAACATAAATAACATTTCATTTAAAGGAAATCTTTCTAAGAATTTCTATTTACTTGACTTCCCTTTTCACAGTAACCTGACAGAGAATATTATGGTTACTAGCATTTTGAAGGTTGGCCTTGAGACAAGATTCTAAGTTATTTGAGGGGAATGGCTTCGATTATATTCAGTCTCTCTGTCCTAAAACATAGTGGGCGTTTGCATTTGTTCAAACTGTGACTCCTTCAACATGAGGATTCTGAACAGAGTAATTTGAAGCCCATCCCTGCTTCATGGCTAGTAATGTTGCCAAATAATATACCTGTATATCTGTATGTATCTTAAGTTATCCTCTTGTTTTATTCCATTCCTTATTGAACATTCTTTCATAGTCTTTAAGTATTTGTCCTGTGCTTGTGCAGCTTTGAAGTGACAAGAGCGCCAAGGAACTAATTCAGACCAAACTTAGGAGGATTCCCCTTCCTCTGGTGACTGTTGGCACAGCAAAAAGAATGACTATGATGGTCAGGTAATGTAAGATGGATAGTCTGCTCAGTAGCCTGTGATACTATAGACCGTATATGCATTCAGCCACCCCTATGGATTCAACTTGTTGCTGGTTATTTGCCACCGTAAGCAAAATTATAATTAACAGCCTTCTAATTGACCCTTCCATTTCAGATATTTTTATTTCTGGGGTAGAGAATATAGGTGAGAGATTGCTAGGTCAAAAAATACATGCTACTTGTAAGTTTTAATAGAGGCTGCCATTATCAGAATGACAAGTTTCTTCTACCCCTGCAATAAATATACCAAAATTCATGCTTGTCTGATGACTATAAACCTCACCTGCTCCTAGATTTGCTTCTCTGTAAATTTTCATATCATTAGCCCATTTTCTATAGAATTACTATCTTTTTGTCAATTTTGAAGACCTCGAAATATGTTAGAGCATAGGAATTTGTCATAAAATCCTTTTATTCATACAAATATTGTTAAATGTCTATGTAACCAAATATATTAATTTTTTCTAAGTTTATAGATTAAGATTTTCATCTGCATTGTATATGTTGTTAGGTTCTCTTGCACGTTGCTTATTGTTTCCTTATTCGATATGTAAATATTTACTCCATCTAGAATTTAATGTCATAAGGTAGGAGAATTATTTTCTTCAAGATGGGTTTCTGGTTGTACAAATGATTTGTTCCTCTGTTCAGCAGCTCTGATACCATCTTCCTGTACACCAGCAGCAATCACATATTTGAAATGATAATAAAAAAGAAAAATTGGTTTTAGTCCTGCATTGTTTATCATTAGCCTTGTTCTGACAAGAAAATGACTTCCCAGCTTGCTCATCATCAGTGCTATAACTGTTGGAGCAAGTACTGATAGCCTCGGTCCTGCACAGCGGAGAAGAGGTTAGAAAGGTGTGGTTCACCTCAGCACTGGGCAGCGCTAACATTCTTTTTTTTTTTTTTTAAAAGATTTATTTTATTGGGCCTCCCCGGTGGCGCAGCGGTTGAACGTTGGGTTGCGAAGCTGCCCGCAGCCTCTGCAGCACCGGTTCGATCCCTGGCTGCTCCCCGGCTGCTCCAGCCACCGGAGGAGGGCCCCACATGGCACGCAGACCTCTCCTACCACCTGCTGCTCCCCTCAGCAGTTTGCTTCTGTGCTTCTGTCCTTCTGCCTGCTCTGCTCCCCGCTCTGGCTCTGGTGAATTCTCTCACCCTCCCGTGCTTCTGACTGTACCCACTGCTTGTATGAATGAATGAATCAATCAATCAATCAATCAATCAATCAATCTTTTTTAAAAAAGATTTATTGGGCCTCCCCGGTGGCGCAGCGGTTGAGCGCTGGGTTGCGAAGCTGCCCCGCAGCCTCTGCAGCGCCGGTTCGATTCCCGGCTGCTCCCTGGCCACTGGAGGAGGGTCCCACATGGCGCACAGACCTCTCCTGCCGCCCGCTGCTCCCCTCAGCAGTGTACTTCAGTCCTTCTGCCTGCTCTGCTCCCCGCTCTGGCTCTGGTGAATTCTCTCGCCCTCCCGCACTTCTGACTGTACCCAGTGCTTGTATAAATAAATAAATGTTTAAAAAAAAAATAAAATAAAAAAAAGATTTATTTTATTTATGCATACAAGAGCTGGGGTACAGACCAGAGGTGCGGGGGAGTGAGAGGATTCACCAGAAACAGTGTGGGGAACAGAACAGGCAGACTGACTGAAACACACTGCTGAGGGGAGCAGCGGGCGTGATAGGAAAGGTCTGCTGAGCCAAGTGAGTAGTAGCTCCCTGGCCAGCGGAACTCATGCTGCAATGGCTATGGATTGCTTTATAGTGCGGTGCTTAACTCCTTGCGCCACCAGGAAGGCCCCAGCGCTAACATTCTTATTCAGGACGTTTTGACAATGATCTGTCACTGCGTCTGGATGGTGCACCACCATCATACGGGACACAGTTACAAGGCGGATACCCACTTAAGCAAAAGGAAAGACACAGCCTTAGTTTCCCATGATTTAGTCATAAAGGCTGTCAATGTCTGCATGTCAGTTCACACCCCTCCCCATCCAGGAACAGATGCAGATGAGCGTTACAGCCATCTTTCTTTAGAGAAACTGGTAGAAACTCAAGTGTAAAGTCATCTTTCCATAATATGGAAAAGTGAGAAAGGTCTGTTTTGTTTTTTAAATATTTATTTATTTATTTATACAAGCACTGGGTACAGTCAGAAGCACGGCAGGGTGAGATAATTCACCAGAGCCAGAGCGGGGTGCAGAACAGGCAGATGGACCGAAAACACTGCTGAGGGGAGCAGCAGGAGGCAGGAGAGGTCTGTGCCATGTGGGACCCTCGCCGGTGGCCGGGGATCGAACCAGCACAGCAGAGGCTGCAGGCAGCTTCGCAGCCCAGCACTCAACCGCTGCACTACCGGGGAGGCCCAGGTCTGTTAATATTTATTAATACTATCCTTTTCAGCAGAAATTTTGCTATGTAATCCTTTAACCAAATGACGTTTTCCTCATTCAGCTGAAACTACCTTATATTTTTCATGTCTACCAAGACCTATTTTTTTCACTAGTCATTTTTTGCTGTTTCTACATTAAACCATAAATTGATAACATTAATAGCTTCACTGTATGTTAATACTACATAATACAAGGCCCCCTGACTTTTTCCGAGTTTTATTGGCTAATCTAAGTGAATTTCCTTTCTATATATTTATATTTTTAAAAGATTTATTTATTTTTATACAAGAGCTGGGGTACATGCTAGAGGCATGGGAGGGTGAGAGGATTCACCAGATACACTGCTGAGGGGAACAGCAGGTTGGACAGGAGAGAGCTGCTGCGCAATGTGGGAATCTCCCTGGCTGGCCAGGAATCGAACCCGTACTGCAGAGGCTGCAGACAGCTTCAGAGTGCTGTGCTCAACCCACCGGTGAGGGCCTCCTTTCTATATTAATGAAGATTTCTCAGATTACAAAACTATCATTTGGGGGCCTCCCCGGTGGCGCAGCGGTTGAGCGCTGGGTTGTGAACCTGCCCGCGGCCTCTGCGGCGCCGGTTCGATCCCCGGCTGCTCCCCGGCCACCGGAGGAGGGTCCCGCATGGCGCGCAGACCTCTCCTGCCGCCCGCTGCTCCCCTCAGCAGTGTAGTCCTTCTGCCTGCTGCTCCCCGCTCTGGCTCTGGTGAATTCTCTCACCCTCCCGCGCTTCTGACTGTACCCAGTGCATGTATAAACAAAAACAAACAAACAGATAAATAAATAAATAAACATGCCTCTATTAAAAAAAAAAATAAATAAATAAAATAAATAAATAAACAAAACTATCATTTGGTTATTCTAATAGGCATTGCCCTGAAACATAGCAAGCCTTTGCATTTGTACAAATTGTCCTTCAGGGTGAGGACTGAATAATTTGAAGTACATCCCCATTTAATACCATTATATTTGAGAAAGCTTTGTTAATGGGTGAATAAGAAAATTCCTGTTAATGGGCTGAAAATGTATTCCCTCAAAGTTCCTATGTTGAACCACTAATCCCCAATGTGATGGTGTTTGGGGATGGGTAATTAGGTTTCAGTTAGGTGGTGAGGGTAGGACATTTAGGATGGGAATGGTGCCCTTTTAAGAAGAGGGAGAAAGCAGTCTCTGTGCATATGTATGAGCCAAGGGAAGGCCAGGAGATACACAGTGAAAAGATAGCTGTGTGTGAGTCAGGAAGTGGGCCTTTATCTGGGACCACCTTGATCTTGGCACATCCTAGCCTCCAGAACTGTGAGAAATAAACGCAGTGTATAAGTAACCCAGTCTATAGTGTTTTGTTGTATTGCAGGTTAAGAGGATCCCTTTCCTGCTTAATTGTATCCCAGTCAGTTATATATGCTCCTAGTGGATAGTAAAACAAAGACACTTCACTAGGAAAGCACAATCCCAACTCCATTAAGAAACTCTGATTTGGGGGGCCTCCTTGGTGGTGCAAGCGTTAAGATGCAACCAATGAAGTTGTCCACACACTGCAGTTTGATCCCCTGCCAGGGAGCTACCCACATGGCACAGCAGACCTCTCCTGACTTGCCCACTGTTCCCCTCAGCAGTGTACTCGGGTCAGTCTCCCTGTTCTGTTCCCCACTCTGTCTCTGGTGAATCCTCTCACCCCCTCACATCTCTGGCTCATACCCCAGTTCTTGCATGCATAAATCAATCTTTTTTTAAAAAAAAATTTTTTTAAAGATTTATTTATTTATTCATACAAGGACTGGGTAGAGTCAGAAGCGCGGGAGGGTGAGAGAATTCACCAGAACCAGAGCAGGGAACAGAACAGGCAGACCGACAAAGTACACTGCTGAGGGGAGCAGTGGGCATGGCAGGAGAGGTCTGCCCGCCATGTGGGACCCTCGCAGGTGGCCGGGGATTGAACCAGTGCTGCAGAGGCTGCGGGCAGCTTCGCAGCCCAGCACTCAACTGCTGCGCCACCAGGGAGGCCCAATAAGTAAATCTTTTTTAAAAAATGTACAAAGGACTTGAATACACTTTTCAAAGATATAAATGTGGTAAGAGCAAATAAAAAGGTCCTCGACATCCTTAATCATTAATGAAATGCAAATCAAAACTACAATGTGATACCACTTCACAACCATGAGGTTTTACTAAAAAACAATAAAAGGAAATACTAAGTACTGGCAAGAATATGGTAAAACTGGAAATCATGCATTGTTGGTGGGAATGTGAAGTGGTTCAGCATTGTGCAAAACAAAATGGCAGTTCCTCAAGAAATTAAACATTGGGGCCTCCCTGGTGGTGTATGGGGTTAAGACGCAACCTATGAAGCAATCCTTAGCCACTGTTCGATCCCCTGCCAGGGAACTGACCCACATGGCGCAGCAGACCTCTCCTGACTTGCCCACTGCTCCCCTCAGCAGTGTACTTCGGTCAGTCTGCCTGTTCTGTTCCCCCACTCTGTCTCTGGTGAATCCTCTCACCCCCACCCCCACGCCTCTGGCCTGTACTCCAGTTCTTGTATGCATAAATAAATCTTTAAAAAAAAAAAGAAATGAAACATTGAATTACTAGATGACATAGTAATTCCACTTTTGTGTATATAAACAAAATAGCTAAAAACAGGGTTTCAAAGAGATTTGTACATCCATGTTGTTATTCACAATCCAAATAGCCTCCAACAGGACAGTGACTAAGCACAATGTGTAACAGACAATGAAATACTCAGTTTTCAAAATGAATGACATTTTGATAATGGCTACATTATGAAGGAACCATGAAAATATTTGCTAAATTAAGTAAAATCACTTTATATGTTAATGATGCAAATTTCAGTTATTTGTGCAAACACAAATACTTAACTTTATTTCCCTTTCATATACAAAAAGCATAACAAGGTTTTTTGTTTTTACTTAATGTCTTTTTTTTTAGTGGCTTAAACAAGAGTTTAATTTTATAAAGGAGTCTGAAGCACAAATATCAACTCATAAACTTGAAATTAGTAAAATATTATATGTCAATTATACCTGGATTAAAGAAAAAGAACCTCTAGATAGGCCCTTTTTGGAATAACTTGCAGTGAACCTGACAGCAAATCCTGTGGTTGAACCTTCAAGCTAAATCTAGAATTTAATGTTTCTATCTCCACCACTTCCACCTGTGAAAGTCATCGCTCACAATATTTAGTAAAAGCATGTTAAAAGTAATTGTAGTAAAATACTTGGAGAAAGCATATTTGCAGTTAGAAGTAATTTATTTTTATACTTAATGAAATCCACCTAGCTTGAGGGTAAATGGAATTTGTCAACCAGTTGATCTGAATGAATATCCTTAAGGAAACTTTAAACTTACATTCCTTGACTTAGCCATTTTTTTTTCTCTCTAGAAAATGTGTAACACTGCCTAATTCACTTCTCTACCTGCAAAGGTCGACAAGACCTCACTTTATTTCTTAGACCAAGAAT